TAATACGAAATTAACATATTTGCGACCTGGGATACTACAACAAATGGTACTACAACGAATGGTGAATCAATATAAAGGACAAAACATCAGAAGAAAAATCATTAAAAATCGTAAAAAGTAATTCAGTGAAAAGTTTATATATAATACACCAGATGATGGCTACATATAGCCGAAACATGTTGTGTAAGTTCCATATGTAAATCGAGTACTCGATAGGGAACATAATATGATATTTTAATCTTTTAATTTTATTGTGATTGACGGTTATTTTTAAATATTTAAATATTTTAGTACTTAATATTATTCATTGTCAGGACTTTTTCCATCGTCTGTTCTTTAAAATCAACGTTTCGGAGGATGGTTCTGTCTCCGTTCTCAGGTGAGAGGTACCTACTCTTTTGGGTCCCTTAGATAGAGCTAGTCTCTGTCACTCTGTCGTGATTTTAAAGAACAGGCGATGGAAAAAGTCCTGACAATGAATAATTTTAATTGTAAACTGCTGTCGCCAAAACCCTTTAGAATTGGATTTAATGTATTCAGCTTTAGGTGAGAGCCATAAGAGAAAGGCCTTCTCAACTGACCACACCTCCCACATTCCCACTTTGAAAATGACATCTTCAGTGTTCGCCAAAACATTGGTTAACACGAAATATTCAGTGTGGCCCTCACCCGAAAGCCAATCTTTGATCTTTCCACATTACGCTTGTATCGTATTTTGTCTTGTTTTACTCATTGCTCTTATCATGATTAACATTATCTTTCTGGTAATTGAACCCTGGTATTCAGCTCTGTAGGTGGACTGCAGGGATAGAGCCTTAAAATAGGGCACACCTGCTTCCATATCATTTTTAATTCAATATTCTCAATAATTATAAAATTCAACTCCAAACTCTACAGTTGAGGAACATCATTAAACAAAAGAAACCACCACACAAGAATCAATTACCGAACTCCTGCCTTGTATTCAGTAGGTCCCAGATTCAAATCTCGGCCCAGTGTTCGTCTATCCCGACTGTTTTTCCGTGGTTTTCTTCAGTCCTTCCAGGCAAATGCCAGGATAGTGCTTTAATTAGGCTATGACCACTTCCTTCCGCATCCTTTCCAAGTCTGAGCTACCGAAAAGCGTTGTTAAATGAACTACAAATAAATAAAAGAAACCATTTCTGTTATATACAGCCACTGAAATTTTGTATGTTGTGGTTAGCAATCCTGTTTCCTATTTGGGAGGTGATGGGTTAAAATCTAAGCCCAGGACCAGCTATTTTTACTGAGGTTTTTCTTGGTTTTCCTCAGTCCCTCCAAGCAGATGTCAGGATAGTACCTTAAATTAGGCCATGGCTGCTTCCTTTCACATCCTTCCCAATTCATTATTCACTGTCCTCTCATCTGATACTGTGTAGCCTGAGACACTGAAAATATCATTAAATAAACTGTAAATAAGAAATAAATACTGTCTAGTTACAAGTGAATTATTTAGCAGAATCATACTTTTAAGCCACATTCTGAAATTGTGAAGTGCTGCGTCATTGAAAATGTAACTAACTCAGTGAGTTGAGTCTATAAGAACCTATTCTAGATTTATTATAAGTAGAAGCATGGATTATGTCAGTCAGACTGCAGTTTTATTCAGGCTTTACTCATGTGAGGTCCTGTAATTCTTCTCATGCTTCTTGTAACATTGAGCCTAGATTAAAAGTATGCCCAGCTAGTCAAGGTTCCAAAACATTGAATCTAAAGGTTCAGTATCATGTTCACAACACCATATCCTTTTCTGAGCCAGATTAATAAATCCACGCTCGTATCTTTTCCTAAGTTTCTAAGTAGTTTCTTCATTTTAGGCTTTCTAGCCACTTGGCATGTCCGTTGGTCATACTAATAGTATTGGTGAAGAGTGTAAAATACGGAACTCTGCATTATGCGATTATTTTCCAACCTCCCATCATTCCATCTCTCTTTTATCAAAGTATTCCCCTAAGCACCTCTTGTCAAACATGTTCAGTGTATGTTCTTTCCTTATATGAGAGACCAGGTTTCACGCCCATACAAAATATTGGGTAAAATTAGTCTTGTATAATTTAATATTTAGAGTTTGAATTTTGCATTATTTTCAAAGGATTATTAGCTGCCTTTTCAAGGTGTATTAGAAGGAATTGCACATACTTATGGTAATAATAAATCAACTAATTTTTAATAAAAATGTTACCTGTGTCAAATTTGGAATGGATACAGAGATGTGGGTGTTTGAAGTTCATGAGGTGGAGATGTCTTATTCCACAGCTGTCACAAATGTTTATAAATCTGTTGTATATCTGTTAAATTCATGATTTGAAGAAGTAAAGGCAGTTCATTTTAAAAAGTCAGGAAGATATCCATTTTCATTTTCATCTCTGTGAGAACCTCAAATCCTATATGTTTTCTTATACCATATGGATGTTATGTAATATTGCAACTATGAATTCTTATTCTTACCAGGGTAAATATGGGGATTTGGATGCATCGCTTATTTCATATGGTCCCTGCCAGACTCCAACTCTGGGTTTTTGTGTTCAGCGCCATGATGAAATTCAGACATTTAAACCAGAACTGTACTGGGTCTTGCAAGTAAGTTAAAATGGAAGCTGAATTTGTCAGTCTTAATTAAACACCACACTGTGATTGTGTGTGGGGGGAGTGGAGGTATACCTCCATTGTATTTTTTATCTCAACATTTGATTGGTCATCTTCATACCAAGACTGATTTATCCTGAGAAGTTACATATTAAAATACAATTTTTGTAATTTTTCCTCTTTCTAAATCTGCCGCTTTTTTTGAATATATGCTGTTCTTGTTTATTTGTCTTCCACCAGCACTGAAATGACACATTTTAGGCTTTACAGGATTTATTTTCTCTTCCTAAAGCTTTCTGCAAAATGTGGGGTTACCATTTTATTATTGTAGAACTCAATTTTATAAATATTTCAGTTCAGGAAATATAAATGAAATGTCTGTGGTATATACATAATAGATTTAATGACATTAAAATCTTGAACTTATATGTAACCTAAATTTTTCTGTTTTGAACTAATTCATGCAGAAGCTTAGACCTAATTGTAAACCTTGTTAAACCTGTATGGTCATTTTGCACCTACATATTTAACTGGATCCACTGACACACACCAGAATTAAAAGCTTCTAAAATTGCTCTACTGTTGATACACAAAATGAAAGACAACCCTTGCGTTGTAGGCCTGTATTGTGTGTAAATCGAAAATGCAATGAGCTCGATGCTTAACATAGTCAGTCTTTAAAACCCGCTACTGGTGATCAACTTTGTTTAAACTCTACATGAATGGCATTACTCATTTTAGTCATGTGTTACCAATTTTGCAGTGTTTGTAAGTTTAGGCTGTGTCAGGCATGCACAGGATACCACAGCCTTCTTAGCTCAGATCTAAAAGTTTGTGATGGTGCGTTTTTAAAATAACTCACAGACCAAGGACATTTAAACTGATAGGATTATGTTTAGGAGTGTATGGTTTCAAGAAGCATTACTTAGACGCTTATGCTGGAACCGGTTACCAATGTTTTTTGTCCACTAATTTATGGTTGTCATATGTAACCAATTTCATATTGTGGGAAGAAAACTGTAATTGTCCTGCCCTTGTTTTAATTTAAAGAATTTGGTGTTATGCTGGTAAATACATTGCATTAACTTGTTTATTTGCCTGTGACATTGCGTTTACTTGTATTTCAGCTTGTAGTTCAGACAA